TGCCATGTCCTTCTGGTGGCCAAGGCATGCAGTGCTGTCCAGACTGTACATTCTGACCCCCATCCTTTTTGTTCCTTATCCAGCCATCCCTACATGGGGGACAGCAGATCACTTTTGGGAGAAGCTAATCATTCCCTTTATGCTTAAGCCAAAGGTGCAACAGAAGGGGAAACACTGGAGGCTTTTCCCCAGGCTGTAAGAGAGTGGCTCCTGGATGCTGGACTCATTGTCTCGCCAAAGGTCAAACAGTGCAGTCACTGGAGTGCCAGGAAAGGAAAGGAAGACTCTGCTCATGTTTCTCTCTAAATTATAGATCCACACTTCCCTTACCTCTGAATTTCGTTGTCGTGATGGGTTTATTTGACGGAATTGTGTGCTTCTCTGATTTAATTCTTATGTTATTATGGTGAGTAAAATAAAGCTGCAGCTTTTCTTTTGCTGTATTAGTGCAGTTTAATTACATTTGCGAAAGGCAAAAAGGAGAGTGGGAGCTTGCCAACATTAATGCTGTCTGTCATTCACAGCCCATTGATGACAAGGAGTTGAAAGCTTGGCAGTTACTCTGGTAATCAGCAACCTGGCTGATGACGAATGGAAAAGATTATGTGAAATTTCCTGAAAGGGGGGAAAAAAAGATTTCTCCAAAGAAATAAAATAGAAAATGAGAACAAAGGGAAAAAAAACCCCAAACCCCAACTTCTAAATCCAACACTAAATCCTTTTTATAATGTTTACATGAAAGACCCTACATTAAGCAAATGTAATAAATGAAAATTTTCCAATAGTAAACTGTGTTTTATGCCTATAAAAGGAATATGTTCCTAAAACAGGAGCACAAATATGTCCACTTGATTGTTGAAATGGACTTTTTCCCCTCAGCTGAAGAATACATATCACTGATAAAAACCAACCAGACAAACAAAAAAACCTTTTATTTCTATAGTTGCCTCCCAGTAATATTTTTTCATTTACAGCACTGAAAATCAGCTCATCTTTTAGAGCTGTTCCAAATATATATTTCTACAGCTTTCAAAATGCAAATAATTTGTTTTCTTTTTTATTCTCTCTACTTAATTTTCTATTTTTAATACAGGAGAATGCAGATATTTCATCTTACTGTTAGGAACATAAGCAACTGCTATTCAGGTTTTAGAGTCATTTGCAATATCTCAGCCTCTGACACAGTAGTAAAGTTCAAGAAAAACTCATGTTAAATGAGACTTGGAATTACATCAGTGTTTAAGGAGAAATTCTACAGGAGAAATTCTACATTCCACATGGTTTTGTTGTGACCTGTAACATGCATTATTTGTGACATTTCTCATTTGTCTTAATTAAAACCTGAATGTTATTCCAAAGCCTTTTTTTATTGGCATCTTTGGGAAGAAACAATGATGGCTAGTTTGAGGTTTTGTCCCATCATTTTTCAGTAGCTGCTGGATATACCTACTCAGTTTCACAAGTTATAGAATTGCATTTTGGTATTCAAGACTTCAGCTTTTCATTTTGCTCACAATGGGCAAATGAAAAGGTCCTCTGGTATCTATAGTATTATTAGACCATATTTTTAAGAACAAGAAAAACCCATACAATTGGACAATGTGCAATTGTTTGCTGGGCATTCAAGCAATTGTGAGACTTCTGTTCCTTCTGTTTTGCCAAACACAGCATAGGACAAGAAAGAAACAAATGGCTTTTAATCACGACATTAAGCGACTCAGGCAATTTAAAATTTACCAGTAGGCAATGTTGACTGTGCAGGGCTGTGAATAGGGAATTTCTGTCTCATACTGTTGAACAGATACATCACTATGTGGCTCCAGGCTTTCTCCCCACAGGCAGAGTACCGCAGCTCTGTATTTTATAAGTTGCAAGGAACACCTAACCCCACGTGAAAGGAGATTGCTGAGGTTTACTGGAATACAACACAAGGATGATTTGATTGGTAAGTTTAGTGTTAAGAACTAGCTGTTTATTTATTAGCTTAAAAATATCACACAGGTTAGAAACCTCCTCCCCACTAAAGAAATGACAATGCGATATTAGTCATTCATCAGAACCACTTCCAAATTTCTGAGGAAGAGATGTAAAATTTAGCAAAAAAACCTTTTAAACTTTTATTCTTGTGTGTGTGTGTGTTAGCAGTGTGAGGCTCCACTGCCTGAGGAACAGATCTTTCCATCCTGGACAACACATCATTCTCTCCATGTGATAACCACACCCAGGCACAACCTGATGTTCCTCCATATTTGTCCAGGTTTCATGGACATACAGCCATGCCTCAGAGCTCAGGTGCACCACATATCCTCCTGTCCTGGCAAAGACTACCCAGACTGTGTGGATCAGCTGCTCCTTGCACACATACATTCCATCTTGATGTCTCAGGAAGACACCTGGGAGGTGCAGGCTGGAGTGCACAGGCACAGATGAGCTCTGCAGGGCATGTGCAGGAAGTCTACATGTCCCAGAAGTGATGGGGAACAGAGAACCTACGATAGGATGGATGGCACATTTCAGAGCTGTAGGCTGTCACTCAGCAGTGGTCTACTGCTCCTCTTCTGCTGTGACACTGTGCTGACAGAAGTTTGCACTAACTCTTATCTGGAAAAACTGCTCAAGAAACATTAAAAAAAAATCCTAAACTGGGCTGGATTTGTTAATTTAATGGGTGGTTTTGAAACACAGGTTTAATTTAAACTACACATAAATAATTACCAACCACCAAGAAGCCTAATCAAGTACAAAAATTCAGCCAAAATGATGCACTGTTATACAGGCTTTTGTTTATTATCTATTTCTGCCTTCCCCAGTGATCGTCTGAACTTCATTTGCCCAACTGCCTTTCACTTTAGATAAGAGGATAATTTCCTCCCCTATCAGTTGAAATTAATTTTTGTCTGTTGCTACCTAAGTGCTCACATAGAACATTTTCCATCTTCAAAAATAATAATTAAAAAAATGAGATATATGAGCCCTTCCACCTTGAAGTAGCAATTTGTACAACCAAAGCTAACTATTTAAGGGTCCCTTACTTCATTACTTCAGAATTTGATCAAAATCTCTACAAATAGGGATTGTCGTTGCTGGACAACATAATTCCATAGTACCTTCCCCCCCAAAAAAATTTATTTAAAACAAAAAAAATCATGTTGAAATTTTGTCTGCACCTCTTCAATTGACACAAAGAGGTATCTGCTGTTCCTGAGCTTCAGAAGGTGACACCACCAGCCTGAGTGCCTTGGCTAAGCAGATGGAAGAGGATGCAACTGATGCAGGAAAGCAATTTTTAAGAGCTGCAGTTTCTTCTGCAGGCAGGGTGAATATCTTTGTTTCAATCCATTTGAGTAGTTCACTTAAGGACTATTAAAGCTGAAAAATCAACATTAGAGAAGAAAAAGTAAGATTGCCTATTTTCCTCTGTCAATCTACAGCTAAACCCAAGTGTGAGAGGATAAGATCTGCTTTCTCTTTCAATACCAAGATTGTCAAAGCCATGGCTACCAGAAGCCTCCAATTTAATTCCCCTTCTAGGGGCCATTATTTCAGTAATTTAATAAAATATTTTAAAATGCAAAGATACTTTTGAAATGCATCAAGCATTTTTAAGATTGCTTTAATGAACAACTTTAAATGACCTCAAATAAATTTTAGCTGAATGTCAGTTTTCATACAAAGAGAACTTGATGCAAATCATAAATAACTAAAAATGTCAAGTATTATTCACCATTTTGTAACAAGAGTGTAAGGAATTAATTTTTTAATAAAATATTTTAAACCTAAACCAGATGTATTTCATGTGTATAGATATGATGTTAACTCTATAGATACAATATTAACTCTCAGTTGAAAAAGAAAAATGGCCAGATCTGCTAATACTGATCGGCTGATTTCTGTTTGCATGTTCACCAAAAAAGAAAAATCCATTTCTCTTACAAAAGACAACTAAAATTTAAAAAGTGAAAAGAAGATCTAAATTACCAATATCAAATATTTCTGCTTGTTCTTTTAAAGAATAGTTGAAATTAAGGATTTTCATTTTTCTGTGAAAATTAAGGATTTGCATCCAGCCACCCTTGAGTCACCTGGAACATTTAATCAACAATTTTTAATATTAAAGACAACGATAAATAAGAACAATGCTTAGCACATTTTCTTCTTTCTTCTTTTTTTTTTTTAAGTAAGAATTTATTACTTGTATTTCCCATGGGGAAACCACACAGCCTCAAGATTTCTGAAAAAAAGGTGCCTGTAATTACTTTTCTAAGCTTGTATTCATGCATCTGAATAAGTGAATTTATTGTGAATATGTTCTGCAGCTTCTAATAGGTCCTAACCATTAGGCCGATCAAAAATTTCTCAAGCACATTTATATTGTTGCAAAACTGCTGACATGTCAAAATGCAAACTTTCAAGATAAATACATATGTTTTGCCAGCAATGGAAGCTGTGGGGGAAGGTTTTCAGGTCCAGTTTTGGAGTTCCGAGCCTCTGCTCAGGGCACGAGAACTTCTCGGAGGGCAGCCGAGGGGTCCCCCTGCCCCGGGCAGAGCCTGCATGAGAGTTTGCCTCTGCTCGGTCATACAGCACCGTGTGTGGGGCTCGATGGCTTCTTTTCTTTCCTCCAGAACGCTTCCCAGGGCTGTCTGTTTAACCCTGACCTGGAAGAGATGTGGAAAGTACAATTATTCTGTCCAGAATGGGTATTTTCCAGCTCGGGATTTTCAGACTGCTGTTTGATCAGCAGTAAGTCACCATGTGTACCAAACCCAGATGTAACTCTACTAGTCATTGCTCGATATCCAGTACGCTTTCTTGCCTAGCAGGTGATAAGGGAACATGCGAGCAGGAATTAAATTTATTCTTGTAAGGATTTGAAATTTTTTTCATTTGAGAATCGCCCTGCAGTTGTGCAGTAAAGCCCTTTACATGTAATTTGCCTCTCCTGAATGCATGCGTTTAACTCTCCTGCTCTCTACTCATAGTATCATAGGAGTGCAATATTATATATTTATGATTCTACGATGGCCTGATTTCGAAGCAGAGGGAAGCTGTGCGTGCTCGGTGCCTCTGAGACCAGGAGCTGTCAGGGAAGGGACCTTCCCTCGGCCACCCCCGTGTCCCCCTGCATCCCTCCAGGACCGGACCTCCGGAGTCCCCCTGGCGCCCTTCTCGCCCACCACCACCTGCGCGGCCGAAGAGACCGGCAGCGGCTCTCTCGGAGCCGGGGCGCTGCCCGGAGAACCCTCCCGGCATTCCCGGCGCCAAACTTCCCTCTGACCGCTGCGGGAAGGAGGGGGACCACCGGCACCCCCCACCCTCCGAAAGGCCGGCACGGAGTTCGTGCCTCCCGACCGCACAAACACGCTCCCCAAGGATGCTGTGCCCCGGGCCGCGCAGCCCCTCGGCGGGGCCGGGGCACGCAGCCTCCCCTCCCGCCGGAGGCGGCCCCGCGCCGCCCCCGCTGACCCGCGCCCGCGGCGGGAGGGGACAGCCCGCGCTCCGTCGCAGCGCAGCCTGGCCGTGGGCACCGAGCATCGGGGCCATGCCGCGCCGCGGCCCCGGCGCATCAGCGCTCCGGCCGGGCGGGGAGGAGGCAGAGCCGACAGTGGGGGATTCCTGGCCCCCCAAAGGAGGTGGGGGTGGCGGGGGAGGGGAGGCGGGGGGGAGGGGAGGCTGAGCTCCCGGAGAAGGAGACGATCGCTCGCACAAAATCCTGCGTCCTCAAGCCAGCCCCGGCAGACAGGGTACGTATTTGGGAAGCCTCCCCGCCCCGCTGTCCCCGCAGGTATTGGGATCGGGGCTGGGGTCCGGGCAACTGCCCCGGGCGGGAGAATCGCGCGCAGGGCCCGTTCCCGATGCGGGATCGGTGGAAGGCGGTGAGGTTCGGTCGCCTCCCCCGGCTGGGGACCGAGGAGGCGGGGGGGATGGGTCCGCCTGTGTTGCCGTGCGAGGGTCTGAAACCCCCCCAGCCGTACCCCCCACCTACCCACCCCCAAGCGCGTCAGGGTTTTGCTTCTCCCAACCAAGCTTCCCCTTGGCTTCTGAAAAAAAAGAACAAAACAACCAAACAAAAAAAAAAAAAAACAAAAAAAAAACAAAAAAAAACAACCCAAACCAACAAACACACACACATACACATAGACACATACATATATATATATATATATATGTATATGCATAATATCTATGCCCCAAAGCTAGAGAGAGTGAGGCGAGGCGGGCGGGGGGAGCGGGGGGGGGAAGGGCTTTTCTGAGGATCGGGGGAGAGGCGGAGGGAGAGGAGCCGCGAGCCTCGCAGCATCCCGTGCCCCGGCCCCGCGGCGCTGCTGCCGCCGGCCGTGCGGAGCGGGCTGCGGAGCAAGGTAAGGGCTGGCAGCGCGCTCCGGGGACCCTGCCTGTCACTCGGGGCTGCTCTCCCCGGCCGTGCGAGCGCTCGGTGGCGAGGGCAGAGAGGCCGCTGCCCCGCCGTGCTCCACCGCCGCCCAGCCGCGAAGTTACTTTGTTCGCAGAGTTGCTGCGGAGGCCGGGCTGGGACCCCCGGGCGCCCCGGCCGGTTGTCCCTCGCATCCCCCACGCCGTGCTCAGCGTCACCAGCGAACACCGCGAAGGAAAAGCCGTGCGCGCCTTCCCCGATAGTTTCCTCTCGCACAGCCGGGGGAAGGGGTGATGGAAGAGGAAGAACTTCCCTTTGTCGTAGGAGAGGATTGAGTGACCTCCGAAGTTTTGTTCCGGGAGGAAACCGCTTGAATAAGTTTGGTAGGATTCATGCCGATTTGCATGTGATTTATTGCGCTGTTATTTGGTATCCAGCACGCTTAAAGCAATACAGCAGACCAAAATTAAAAAAAAAAAAAGGTAAAAAGGTTGAGGACGTTTAGATAGAGATTTCAGTTCTTTTCATTGCTTTCTTAGGATTAATGTTTTCTATCTCGCACTTCCAGATGGGTAGTGTAGAATACATTTATAAATGGGTGTGCTTGTCCGTGGATAACACTGAGGGTACAGATGGGAAACGTGAAGAAACTGGGCAGATTTTAAACGCTCCATTCTCTTTGGCGGAAGATCAATAGTTGAAGATTCCTGCTTGCACAGTCTGTACCTTAACAATATTATCATTGAGACATCTGCTGATAATGTATGGTATTGATAGCCATTGCAACTTCAGTTTAATGAATTTTGCAGTTAATTTAGACTAGTGTAAAGGAGCTCCGGGTATTCTGGATAAATTGATAACTAGGCATGATTATTAAACTTTGCGATTAGCTTGTGATGAAGTGAACTCTCAGTTTTTCTAAAGTAGATATTTAAAATGCAAGGCTATATTTTAAAAGTGTATATTCTGAAATCTGACTACCAAAAAATCATGCATCTTCTGAAAAGACCAGTTATGGAGTCATTGAAAAAGGCAATCTGTGTTGCACCTACATGTAACGAACAGTTTCGTGATGCCAGACACTGTAAATTCTCTGGTATTGTACTACAAAAATGGGAGGGAGACTGATTTCTATTTGCATATGGATTTTTTTGAAATTATTAAATGTAGTAGTTTTCCCTTGTATGATACGTATGTGAACTGATTAATATTCCTTACTGCCCATAAAATTTCAATGGTATGTTTAAACAGTTTTAGCTTGGCTCTCGGGGTTTGTTTCATTGTCTCAAGCTATCCGAGACATAAATCTTTAAAATTTCTTGCTTGTACATTATCCCATCTATATCTTTTTTTCTCTTCCTGATCTCCTGTGGTATAATTCAAAGCAAGGTAACTGCAGAGAATACCTGTATATGTTCGTGTGGAGTAAAATGCCCATTTTAAAGATACACAAATGTTCTTGGTGGACAGGAGCCATCCCCTCATGCCCTATATGAAAACCTTCTGGGCTGCTGTTAACAAGAGACTTGCTTTGGTGTTAGTTTGTGATGCCAAACAACAAACATTAGAGAGTGCAAAGATAAAGCTGGTGCTCTGATCTTTGTTTAAACAGGTCATGGTTTTTATTTAATGCTGCATGCTCATTATGGGAACTGTCAGCAGGAATGTAAAGCAGACTGGAGTTCTGATCTGGCATACATTCATAGATGACTCTGATGTTTCTTCTTCTTCACTTAGTGGTTCATAGAATGTAGTGTAGTTTGTGATCATATTTATTTAATTGAATGCACTATATGAAATCAGAAAAAAACCTCTAGATTAATGTCCTGCTAGGAACCAAACATGTTCAGATCTCCTGCCTTAGGTGCAGTCCTCTTGACCTGAAGAGTTACAAAGAAGTGGACTTTTCTATTTAGTAGAACAAGTAAGAGTGTATAAAGAGATCATTGGTTTTTAAGTCAGCTTGAGTTCTGCCACTGAATTACAAGGACGGACACTCAGATCCCCTGAAACCAGGTAACTGCTTAGTCAATTACCAGTCATTTTCTTTTTTTTTTCAGACGTATGGAAACAATATCAAATAGTAATTAGAAAGTGCATTCATAATTGAGAATTTTAATGCTTTTCATCCATGAGAACAGTTTTCGTCTCGGTTAATAAACATAATAAAAATAATTCAGTGCAGTCCATCTGATCCTTGCTGAATCTTGTTTTGAACAATTCATATGGGATGTGCAAGGTAAGCTGAAGGAAGAGCCTTTTCACATGTTCAGTTACCTGAAGCAGTATTAGAATATTGCAACATACAGTATGAGCTTTCAAAATAAGACTCAGTGTAGCACTGGGAACTTAAATTTGGGTGTTCTGGATCATACATTGGTTGGGATTCTGTGGTCATTTTCCATAGGTCAATTTCATCTGTCTGAGAGCAAAGTTTCTAATTATTATTTCTAACTTAAAACCTTCATTTTAAATCCTCGCTATTCTAGGTTATGTTTCAAAATATAAGCAAAGTTGGTAATGTAAGAGAGTTCTTTAAGGTCGCTGGATTGTTATCCTTTAACTTCCTATTACAAAATCATATTTTCAGTCAATGTAATTACAAATAAAACAGCACATGAGAATGTGATGCTCAGGCAGGGTTGAAGAGTGACAGTCCGTGATAAGATCCATTGCAAAAAGTGGTAGAGCTGTTGCAGTACTGGCTGTTCCTCTGCTTCTGCAGTAACCACCTCTGGAGGTAAAGCAGTTAATTCCTGGGCACTGCTCACTGCTTGACCTCATTGAAACTGTCAACAAGTATGGCAGTTTTGCCGTGCTTTGACAAGGCAGTGGGAATTATATTAGGATCAACAATTAGCTATCATGGTATATATGAGGCAACTTGCAGTCATAACTGATTTGGGATTCATTGTAGTAACCTAAACACAAAATGCTTAGCATCTTCCATTCAGTCACAATTTAAAATGCTATGATTTACTACAGGAGTAAAGGTTGCATTCATAATATCATTTAAATATGCTGTATTCTGTGTCAGACTAGTATCAGTGTAGTAAGGGCTTGTCTTTACTGATTGAGAGGTGCAATGCAGAAATGCATTTCAACTGCAAGCATTAGCCCTCACTTTTTACATATATCTAATTTGTACATTTCTGCTAAAACCAGGAGTGTATCGCTTTCCTTTGCAAGCTTATTTTTAATGTGGTGTGTCCTCTTCACCTTTTAAATGGGATTCCCCTGCCATGCAGTCAGCCCAGCTTCACTTACAGCATCTAGGGTCTTGTCACTGAACCGAAGACTGAAGCCAGTAGAGCAGCTGCACAAATGGCATATGAAGGAGGCTGACAGCTACTGATATTTTTGATTGTTTTTTCCATGTTTTCCTAATTGGCTATTTTGCACAAGCCTCCTTTTTTGCCTGCTCTTGGAATTACATCGCTGCGCTTGATGTGCTGTGGAACTCCAGCACCCTGCACGCCACTTGATTCCTTATCACCTTTTCCCTCCTATCACCGACTCTTATCAAATCCCATCTTCTTCCCACTCCTGTCTTTTGTGGTGCTAGTCTTGCATTATTTTTTCCTAAAAGAAAATGGAAGGAACACAGCGTGCTGCCATTGCACCCATAATTCCTGTGCTATGTTTTCCTCCCATATCCTTTGTTGAGTTTCTGGAGGCTGTAATCTGGGGCAGAGACTGTTTTACTGTACGGCTTTACAATGTCCAGGGGATTTTGGTAAAAGTTCAAGACACCTTGCCTAATGTAGTGGGGATGGGGTAGATTAGAGCTTAGCTACTGACAGAGGTTAACTGGTTTGTACCTTCAACAAGAATGACAATAAATGTCAATTTCAACGCATATTAGTGGAAACCTCAGATTTGTCAACGTCAAAAAACCATGTTGATAAAACAGAAGGGAAAAGAAAAAAAAATGTACAGTGTGTTCATTTCAGAACTTGGTTATTTTCCTCCCAGATATTTTTACATTTTGATCTCCATTTACTTTGCATCCCTTAATTTTGTAGTTTTATTTTAGCTTTTTTTTTTGGCGTCCCATGAAAATCTTTTCACCAGTGCAACTAAAATTTTTCAGGTGAGCATTTCAAGCAGCCAGTGAATCAGCTGATGGACGGTGCACAGTTCAGGGGCAGACTTTCTTTATCTCATGTGGACCACGTAGGGGGGCTCTTTGTGGACATGACTTCAGGGCAGGAGGAGTGGTTGTTGACTGTTTTTTCCTTACAGTCCTGGAGGCAATACCTGGAAAAATAAAGGTAACAAGCCCAGTGACTCCCTCCCTGGACATGAATCAGATGACATGAAGGGTTTCAATGGGATAGATGCAGCTAAATGAGGGAGAAGTGGAAACACCAGAAGTAATATGACAGCATAGTAAATTTTGAAAGTTTCGTGTGTAAGAGAAAAAAAAAAAATGTAGCTGTGAAGAATTTGCTTGTTTAATTTTATAATTTATCTCCAGGCCTTAGTAGAAAAAGAGACACTGATGTCAGAAGTAGTAGAACTATAAATATATTTACATGTGAGCTGTGTTCTACATCTCACCTTTGACATATGTGCTGGTACTTTGGCATTTCATTCATCTTGAATTACAGGGATGGATAGGCCACTTCTATTTTGTGCTCTTGTCCTTTCAAGAGTTGTTAGCATCGGATTTGTTTCTGAAATCAGATGAGAATATTGGCAATAGAAATGAATCCGCAGCCAAGCGGTGCTGCTGCACGAAAAGAGAAGACCCTGTCAATTTATTACACAAATTCCACTGAAATAAATTTGGATAAAGTGAGTGTCTCAAGGAAGTGGCTTTCACCCAGCAGGGCTTGTGCTAGGCTAGGAAATGAGGATGTGGCCAGTTGTCACAAAAGAGTAAAGAAAAAGAACATTCTTCAATTTAAAATTAAACCAAATTGTGTCTTAAATATGTTTCAGCACTTACATAGTCATCTTCTCATTAAATAATATTTTGAAAGATTCAGGAGTTTAACCAGATGACATGCCCAAATTGCAAACTAAAATGTAGAATCAAACCCCCACAACCCTAATTTATTTCTGTGGAATGTCCATTTTTTGTAATTTCCACACATAACTTGTATTTTTGGCTATTTTCCTTTAGAATGAGTATTCTCATTTGGGGACTTCTAATTTTTGCTGAATGAATATATACAAGTGGTTTACAGTAACATAGCAGATTATGTATTACTGCCAGAGACTGAGGCAAATGTGAGAAATTATTTTTGTGGCTCTCAGATATTTATTTAAAATTTCCTTCCTTAGAGGTAATTACTTATATAGATTATCTATCTCTGCAGGTATTTTTAGATAAGTAAAGGTAGTATTGAGCAAAATAGTATATTTTTCAGGAAAAACATTTGGTTTTACTTAAAAAAAGTATCCATTTAAATATTTCATTGAAATATTACAATGTTTTTATACATTCAGGCACTGTCGTATGTAGGATTACAATAATGCGTTTAGCCTTGACAAATATTCAGTATATTTGTGAATTTTAGACCAGTCCAGTATCCAGAATATATTGGATATATGATAAAGCAGAATTTTAAGGTGGAAACAAAGCAATATTATTAGGTTTTGTTGATTTTTCAAATTGAATGAATGAACAGTTTATTTGTATGGATGAGAAATTGATTCAGAAAATGATACTGCTAATGAACCAAAATAAAACTAAATTTTCATAAATAGAATAATCATTTACTGTATAGTTTTGGGAACTAAGTAGGGAAATGAGAAAAAGTAATTAAAAATGATATGATCATTCAAAATAAGACTGACAAAGAAGGTTTCTAAGTGATAACTGCTTTAAATAAATAGAGAATTGGATTTCTTAGGTAAATGTCCCATTTTTTATTTTCTGAACTCTGTCTGTATCCTTTCCTGGATGCCTTGTAAGAACTTTGGCATGCTGTAGGTACAGTATATTTTTGGATGAAACTTCATAGAAGTGGATGTTACCACATAGTCCCAAAACCCAAATAATTTATCTCATTTCTTACTTGCTGTGTCCATATAATCTTTTTATTAGCTAAAGCTCACAAGTATGTTTGTGTTCTTTATAAAGAAAATAATGAGAGAAATGTGCAATATTTATGTTTGAGAGCAAAGGGAGTAACTAATTTGAAGAAAAAAATTCAGTCAAGAGTTTTCTCATACTGTATGTGACAGGTCATTATAACCTGCAAAGGAGAGCAGTGATGTGTGTTTTAGAATGGTGAGAAACAACTTGTGGGATTTTGTTGTTTTTTTTTTTTTTCCTAATGCAGGTTGAGGTGATTGGAATTATAGAGAAATAAGAGGTTTTATTTAAGTCACTGGGGTTTTTTTCCATGTTAGAAGCCAGATTGCTCAGTGCCCCACAGATCTGCAGTTAACAAATATGTGAGATATATGATAAGGCACTGAAGTATTCATTGATATGTGAAATAGGAGATTCTAAATAGAAGAGGACAAAAAGAGTAGGGTTTTGAGGCTTACAGGTAATTCAGAATTACGTTCCCTGGTTTTGCTTATATGGGTGGAAATAGCTGTGACTTCCAGGGAAAGGATAGAGTCACAGAACTGAGTATTATTTGACTGATAACAGTTATCAAATTTACATTTGCTGGCACAGAAAACCACCTCAGATGTTTTCTAAAAAGGCCTAGAATTGCACTTAGTTTTGTTTATTTTATAAAATGAAATGGGAAATGTATCTCCAACAAATCCTATTAATTTAGGAAGCCTAATGATTCCGTCAGTAGAGGTGTGCATGATCAAACTTAAAATCCTCAAGTGTGTCCACGACGTTTGACTGTGTTCCTTCCCTTTAAAGTCCTCATTTGTCAGGTGAGCACACCAGGCTGCCAAGGGGAGGCTCAGTGGTTTTGCTTTCCCGGGACCTGCATTCTGTTTCAGAAGATGAGAGAAGGAAGAGGAGAGTGTATCTCTCTGGAAAAATTTTAACAGCAGTGTGATTTCCCTGGCTCATGCTTTCCCACAGAATAATGCCTTTTTAGGATTATTTCAATATTAATTTTCTGATGGCAGAACTGAAGATAGCAGTCTGATTCCATTAATTGGCCCCTATCTGAACTGTGTGAAATGGGTATTTTAGTAAAAACCCTTAGTATTTTCAGCGTATTTCTCAGAGTAAGTAGCTGCTTTTCTAGTCTCAGTACGTTCATTTACTGGTGGTCAGTTTGTAACAAACATTTTTCAGGATGCTAAAGCAAAAGCGGGAATTTGTGATGGTGAAGCTGGTGGTTGCAAAAATTTTACTGTGACAATTGTAGTGATTTTGGGGGTTTAAATAAAGGATCAGCTTCCCCATGTAAGGGATGATCTGACAGTTTATGAGGGGCACTGTAGTACAGGGAAGACGTGGGCCCTTGTAAAAGATCTTAAAAGAGTTTCTGGTTAGCACTGTCCAAGATTTGCATTTGCATGAGAAGCAAGTGTGTCACCATGTAGTCTATCACAAACTCTCATGGTCCTCTTTAAGGTGCTTTACTGCTCTTGTCTTACTGGCTTTCTCTGAAAAAAATACAGCTTTGATGTTTTATAGCTGCATGGAAATGCCTCTTTCTTTTTTTTTTTTGATACTACATTTTGTTCTTTCGTTGCCTCCCCAAACATCAGCTTGCCAGGCTGGCTGAGCAAAATGAACATTTTTTCTGTAGCTGCCTCTTTGCCCCTGACCTTGGTAGTGCCTGGAGTCCCAGCACTCTCTTCTTTATTTGTCTCACCGGTGGTGGAAAATTTGGCAACTACCCCTGTTCAGCTTCTTGCTGTGATGTGCTACAGTCACATTGTGCTTCTTGACCTTCAGATGTTTGCAACTTAGCAAAGTTTATTCCTCAACAGAGAACACCTTTATAGTTTTCTCCCAATTACTGACTTTTAAAAATTATTATTAAAATTATCATGATATTTTATCTTGGTTTCTAATTATTATTTCAGTGACATCTGCTTGAGCCATGTAGCTTCAAATCTGGATTCATATTGTGTGCTGCTGGAATTATTTTCAGGAAGCATCAGTGGTGTTTTCAGACTTGAGACAAAGGGATGATGGATGATGGAGAGGACAGCAGGGCAGTGGAGTGAGATATGGGGAGAGACAGTGGTCATGAGAGTGAACCTAGAATAAGGCAAAATCTGTGAGTGGAGAAATGAGATCAAAATAAAACATTGGCTTGGAATGAAAAAAAAAAAAGATAAATAGGATGTATAAAAAGGCTGGGAAGTTCATGTAGATGGGGAGATATTTATGCTGGTGAGATATAACACCAGAAATTTCAGGCTGAAAAAAAAAAAATCTTAATACAGAGATTTATTTGAGGACTTCATAAAGTACTTAAATATATCTGGGTATTCCTACCTGCTAGTCCAGTAATTCTTCAGGAGAGGTGTTTCAATCCTCACAGTGGCCTTCTGTGAAGCCTTCTGAAGGCTGGAGCAGTGTCCATTGCACACAGTGGACTTTGGGGCCATTTGAACACATGCTGAAGAAAACAGCAGGAAATTAATGTACAGAGAACATTCCTGCCTTCTGTAAGAAGATGGCTTAGCTGATTTAATAGCTTTTTCTCAGTCTGTGATTCCAGCAGCCAGGTTTGTGATATTTATTTTAGTATTCATGTTCTTGCAGTCCTTTTTACATTTCTCTGTTTTTCCCTGGCAGACATCCCGCAGCTCCATAAGTCTGGGGGAAGAGGATGGTTAGCATGTTGTTGCTGTGGGGATTTGAGTCTTAACTCTCTGTGTTGTTAATGCTGAGCATATAATTTTTAAACTTGCATGCTGCAGAAGCAGATAATTATTTCCCCACTGCATTTTATCCTGTGGTTTCGGAAAGCAGTAAGTTTCAGAATATTAAAAGAAAGGAAAAGTTAGAATTTGGGGGACTATTGGAAATGGAAAGAGAAAGAGGGAATTAATGGGTGTCAGTCTGGTTATCAGTCAAGCTGGAAGGAGATAGCTTGTTCTGTTGAACACCAAGAGGGTCAGTAGTCAGCCAATCACTTATGCAGGAAGAAAGCCATAGACTGAAAGGTAAGGTTCAAAGACATCTGGGTATGTTCCTGAAATGAGCTTGAAATTATCTTGATATTAAATTATACTTACTGAACCTGTGTGTTACATAGATGATTTCTGTTTAGTGCAGGGCATTTCTATGACTGCTGTTCTTTTTTTCTTTTGTTTTTTTTTTTTTAGGATCTGTCTTCCTTTTCCTTCCCAGAACTTCCTGCAACTTCCCTTCCTGGAACTTCCCGGAACTTCCCTTCCCTTTCCATCTTGTTTTTATGGTTTTGATGTGTCTAGGGTTGGCACTGAATGACTGTCACTAAGCAGAAGGCTCAGTATGCTGTTGCATTTTTTTTCCCCTTCCTTTTTTTTTTTTTACTTGCATCAAACGAAATAGGTTGTCTTCCCATTTTTCACCTGTATAGAGGGTGAACTTTTTGCTGGGTGTTTGCTGCCCTTCTCTCAGGCTGGTCAAATGGTGTGGTTCACTCACTTTCCCATGTGTAAGGGTGGATTCCCTGCTTAAAAGAGTTCTTCAGCACTGAAGGGTGTGTTGAGTGGTGTACTGGATGTGTTTCTGTTCCCAGACAAATTTGTCTTTTGAGTTAGATTGTGGCGGTAGGTGCTATTCCACTAACCCAGAAAGAGGAAGAGAGCCAAAGGGTGGATATTGGGGTACATGCACGTTTATCTGCTGTTTCTGCAGCAGATTTGACATCTGACTTGTGACAAATGTAAAGTTGTAAAGGACAGAACCCAAAGAGGAGATTGACAGAAGCTGTTTCCTCAGCTTCTGTGAGCTCCTGAGAGCTTCCCAAGGCTAAAGGGAGATTCTAGGCCCCTAAGGCAGTGCCTTAACTTCTTTGAAACCCTGGTTCAGTTGTGTGTAAAGTTGGCACAATACCCAAATTGTAAAAAAAAGGCTGTGTTTTTCAGGTAGTTTGAAATCCTTATGTGGAGGTGTGGAATCATAAATTATTTATCTTACTGGAGAATATTTCTAGAGGTCACCAGTTCCAACAGTTTATCTCAAATAGAAGTAGGTTCACTTAGAACAGTTTGCCCCCTATAAAATCTCTGACCTTGACTATTCAGACTTCTTTACCAATGCATCATTTAATACAGGAAGCTCCTTAGGGAAGGTTCTTCACATCTGCTGTCATAATTCCTTGTTTCCTAAATGCAGCAATTTATACTTGATTATTCTTACAAGGATCGTGCCTCCCTTCCCTCCCCCTGCTCTGGCACAATCCTTTGTGTTGCTGCTTCTTCTGTAGCCTGAACGCGGCATCTGAGAGTGTTTGAAATCCCAAATTTTCTTTGTTGTTACTCTGGCATTTCCTTACCACTCTGTTCTAGGGGAGGGCATGTAGGAATCTGCTCCTTTATTCTGAGGCTGTTTTGCTGTGGCTTGTTAGTGACAGCAGGTTGTCATCATCTTACAGCCATTCAGCCAGTAACAAAAACCAAGCTGAATCTTTCATTTCAGCTTCCTGAGAACAAGATTTCCCCAAACAAAAATACTCTGCCGCTTCTTGGAGCAACTAACATCTGCGGCAGTTAAGCAGAGGGCTGCAGCCCAGATCTTTAAAGACACTTAAGTGCTTTACTACCACTAAACCGAATTGGACCTAAGTACTTGTAAATACCTTTAAAAATCTGAGTGACTGTGAAGACCTCCTTCATCCATCACTCTCAGCAGTCGTCCCTTCAGAATGGCAGAAAGGCACATCAGCATGGTCACAGAAAATACTTCTAGTCCTGCTCTCCAAAACTCTGCATATGAAGTGAATTGCTGCGTTCTAGCGTGGTTTTTCCTGAAATACGTCTTTGAATCAGATTTCTTGTATTCCCTAGAAGAAAAGAGCCCCTGCTTGCATGAAAGTCAATATTTAAGTCAGACAACTTTTAAAAAGGATGCAAAGTTGTACTGTAAAAATACCCACCTTTATAGCTTATAATCCATTTTTTATTAAAACTGGGAAATAAAATTCACATTTAAATTACTTTCTGCTGTTTCTAGGGGATACTCTTTGCATTCCATTTCACGTTGTTCTTCCCCTACCCATTTTCGGTACTGGTGTTCTAGACTTGCTTAACCTTTGGGGAAAAAATTATTCCCAAGTATAAAAACCTATATGGATTTTACATTTTTAAAATATTTAGTAACATTTAACTGTGTGCTAGCCTTGGAATCACTCCGTTTTCCTGTGAATCCAGAATGCTGGGCTAGTACTGAATGAAAATTGTTTGAAGAGGGGAGTCCTTCATATTTACGTCCTTCACTCAAGGAGTTGTGTGCTCCTCAAGGAGTTCCTTCAGTGATGCTGTAAAACCAGGATCAAGTGTACAGAAAGCCATTCGCTCTTCTGTTGATGTAAAGAACAGGCACTTGCAATGCTTCTCTGTAATGTCACAGAGTTTGGGAAAATTTAGTTAAACTAATTCAATTTACTTGCATTTGAGTTGTGCGTAGTCATGTATTCCATTTCAGGTTTGGTGGGGGCTTTCTGAGGGAGGATGGGGAATAAAACTTCATCAGTTCAATGAAAAAAAAAAGTAAATGATTGTATTGGAAAAATACTGTGATTTGATGTGGCTTTCTGAATGATGGTCCTTTCTTTTGGATTTGGATTGAAAGTCTGAAATACTTGAGCTATGTTGTGTAGCAAGTTTACTTTCACTCCATGCTTCCCACCCCTAATTAAAACACGTTCAACAGGTCACTGAGCTAGAAAAGTTTGCATACTTTGAGCAGTCTGTCTTCGTCCCTCCGCCTTCACCTCCCATTACATAAAGCAAATTGTGAGCAGAGGAAGTGTCCGACAGTTACGCTGCGTGTCTCCCCTGTGCCGCAGGTGTTTGGAAGGGGAGTGTGCTGGCCGGGCCGGGTGCTGTCTTGGTGCTGGCCCTCGCAGCAGGGAGATAGCAGAGATGGTGGCCTGAGGGCACCAGCCCCACGCGCAGACATGGCCTTCGCCCAGTCCCACATCATGGCAGCCAGGAGGCACCAGCACAGCCGGCTCATCATCGAGGTGGATGAGTACAGCTCCAACCCCACACAGGCTTTCACGTTCTACAACATTAACCAGGGACGATTCCAGCCCCCACATGTGCAAATGTAAGTATTATAGTGTTGTTATTGCTCCGGCACAGCCTTCAGAATGGTTATTGCCTTGTCGATGTGATATTCGATGGACCAGTCACAAAGAATTCAAGGAATGCTGTTTTGCTGCCTTTCTAATAATATTTACTATAATGACAAGAAGTCAGTCCGTTTGAAAAGTACTTTGTTAAAAGATGGGAGAAAGATTCCCTCACTGCTGTAAGTGTAATACATAGTACTTAGGTATTGAAAAGAGAAATAAAAAACAAGTGGTGGCAATAAAACACAAGATACTACTACAAGGATGATACTTTCTGCAATCTTAATAACTAAGGTTTGTTTGCTTTGTGCATTTGCATATTGGTGTACATGGCTGCTGAAAATACCAAGCCTGAATCTGTATAGCACACATTCTGTTTGGTTAGTTATATTACAGCTGCATACAAGGGAAAAATCATATAAATACATAAAGTACTGTGAGCACCCATCCGAAAACTTACTTTCCAAAAGTGCCAAGTGCTTAAAGAGTAATTAAAATAATGTGTTTGTTTCTGACTTCTTATATAATGCCAACATCAGTAAAATTAACTGCTCTGGATGATTTACTTGTAACATAAAGTGGAGAATTATAATTACGAAATGAAACCTGCCATAAAGTTTAAAGCCAGAAGGAAGAGCAAAACAGTAAAGCTATTACAAATAAATTAAGTATAAAATTCTACTGTAAAATATTTTTATAGGGAATAAAAATGTCTGCACCATTTTATTGTGTATCTTAAAGAGAGAAGCAGCCTTATCTTTAGATCAGATGGCTGGTTTTCATTTTTTAAAGAGAACCCTTTTCCTTTAGGAAGAGTGAACAAATAGTCACCTAATTTACATTTTTGGTATTTAATATGAATTTAATATGATTTGATAACTTAAAAACGTAGGTCATGATTTCTGTGGTTAAAAAACAGCACTTGTGACTGGTTGCTGTGTGTCTATTTAGCAAATGCTTCTTTGGCATAAATTAGATTATATAAAAAAAATCTGATGACTAACATGTATGTCAAGATGGTGAGCAAACAGTCGGTTTTTGGGGGCAGTATATTATGGTCTGTGTTGGGGTTTTTTAGATCCTACTGAAATGCAAACAGTAAAATGAGTTGAGTGTTAGCACTGGGAAACATCTTTTGTTTATAGAGCTGGCAAATGGTAGAAAAAGTACAAACAAACAAATGTGGGTTCTGAAATACTTTTACAAATGAAAATGCCAAATGCAGGTTGCCTGATTTGTTGAGGTTTAGCTATTCTTTGTGGATATTCAGACAGCTCCTGGGCACTCAGAAATTTGTTTCCTGATCTTAAAAGCTAAATGTTTTTTACTGGGCTGAAAATGAGTTGTTCATTAGTATTCACTTGGTTCTCAACCATATGCTGCTTAAACTTCTAACCAGTAAGAAATTGTGGTACTGGAGGCTTAGGCAGTCAACTACGAGATCAAAACTCAGCACTCAAGCAAGGAGTTGAAAATAAGATATCATTAGAAAATAGTTCCTCAGAAGAGTTTAGCAATCCCTCATGAATGATTAATACTATTGAAAAAGCTTGTGTAAATAGAAAAACAGGCCAAATCAATTGAAACATGTACCACAATCTGACCTACTCTTTCTCTGTACAGAAATAGTAAATAATGTTTCTGAATACCAGCAGGATTGCTTTTTCTTCCTACCAGTGAACAGAAGAGTAACAAAGAAGGGAAAAGTAGACATAAAAAGGGTGACAAAAGCACCTTTTATTTGCATGATTGTTGTGGGTGAAATCCTAGCCCTGCTTCTGTGCATGCAAGTTTTGTCCTTAACTTCAGGGAGGTGAAGGCTTTGTGCATGGTTCAAAATAACCTTCATTAGTGATGTTGCAGGCAATCATCAACATTTCACACAGACCTGTTAACATCTGAACTCCCAGTAAACTACTTTAACCATGGGAAGGGGGGCGGGAGGATTGTATGCTCCTTTTTTCTGGATTCAGTTTTGCAGCTCTTCCTTGCTCCTCTGTGCAGGTTTGGATTTCTTATTTGATGTTTTAGCTCCCAGAACATGCTGACAGCCCTTTCTAGACCTGTCATAGTCTGGCATCCCTGTGCTTGTAAGATGACTGGGTTGCCTCTGACAAGGAGGATGGTAAATTCTGCCAGTGTTTTCAAGTCCATCAGTCATTTCTGGAAAGTACCTGTCTCACTCCTTCCTGAAGTGCTGAAATCTAGTGTATAAACTAACCTCTAGAAGTGTTTTTGCTCTGAGATGTTCCAACTTCTCTTTTTAGTTTCTCTGCAAGTTTTCCTACTGATCTAAAGAAAAACAAAAGCATTTGCACAAAAATAATCAGCAGATCTGTATTCCTCTGCTCACACTGCAAGCTGTGCATTGGGTGTTGGTGTGACAGCTGCTGTGGGAAGGCGTTACACAAGAATATGGGGATTGAGCCTTCAGAAATTATTTCCAGTAATACAACTTAGATGAGTTTGTGAAACTTGACATATGCTTTTACCTATATATGGTCTCAGTGCGTGCATATCACTTCAACATGAGAAATCTGCATCTCATTTATTTTGGTGGGTTTTTTTCTATTGATGCCTTTTTCCCAAGAAAATTATCTGGCCTATTGCAGAGAATTTAAAAGTTGCACATACCTCAGCAACCAGGAAAATGCTGTCCACCCCTTCCCCATCCCAATCCAAAGCATGTGCATTATGTACTACATGGGGTTGCCATGGTAAGTCTGCTGTTCCTTCCACACAGCTTCCTATGTGAAACATATATTGCTCCCTAACACCCGGCTCACTGCTGTGCTGAGCTTTAAAAGATTTCTGAAGGAGAAGCTGTACCTGCTTTAAAGGCTACCCTACCATGAAAAGTCAAAGAGTGGTGTTTTAGACAGTCCATATCCTTATGTTTGCCAAGGCAGTATTTGTGATTTAAAGCTGTCTCAGTAATACCATCTGTAACTCGCTTTGGGAAGTGTTGGGCAGGGAGAGCAATAATTCAGTTTACTGGACTGATGTTTAATCCTTTTAGCTTGAACAGCTACAGTGATAGCCAAGATCAGTCCCTCATCATTTTTGTCCAACCATCCTGGTTCCTTTTCTGAACTGACTGCATCATCCTTCACACAGCTCCTATCTGAGGGCAAACCCTCACCTCCCAGTCTGAGCCCCACCATTCACCACCCACATTCCTCTGCTCTCCTGCTGCCTCCCCTGGAGCTTGCCCTGTGCAGCTTTCTCCTCCTCTAAAAATGGAGGCATTTTTAGCATCTCAACTCTTTTCCTTCATCTGCCCTTCCCCTTGTGCCCTGCACAGGGTGTTTCCAGCTGCTTGGAGTCCAAGCACTGCACTTTTTGCCACCCAGATTTTGGAGTTCCTACTACATCCCTGCTTATATATGCCCCTGGCATATGTAGTTCATCCGGTAGGATTTGATCACAGCTGGGTTTACCCCTCAGCTCATATTTAGGTACTTTATCCTCAAAACCTGGAACTTCAGAAAGACAACTCTAAGGTGTTTGTATGAAAAGGCTGCTCCTCCAGTTTTGCTGCAAAAATCCCAATATTTCTTCTTCCTATGTAGCAAAGATGGGTACAAAATAATTGTTCATACTCTGGTTTTGTAGTTACATTGTAGAAAATGCTAAGACCTTTTTCTGTATTTAGCAAGATTTCAATGTTTTAGATGTGTTCCTCACCCTCTCACGAATCCTGTGAAGTTGTCAAAACCACCTCAGTTTATCTGCCTATAAATTTCATAGAATTTTTTGACACAGAGAAAAGGTTCAGTGATTAAATATTATTATCTTACACCTTTTAAGCAATAAAATGCTTTTGAAAATTTATCTAGTAAACAGAAGTAGTGTTATTAAATGCAAAGATCTCTATTATTTTTCCCCCTTTGTTTATGTAAAAGTAAGCTCCTGAATCGAGGCACAACCAGCAAGGGATAGAAATATGTACTGTATACTGCAACAATGAGCAAAACTAATTTTATTTGCCCTTTCAAAAGAAATGTTGTAAAGGTAAAATAATTCATAACAATTCTGTATATCTCTCCGGTTTCTAGTGACATTAATATAACTCTTGCATCTCTTGCTTTTTGATTTTTTTCCACCAGAATTCCCTAACTGGAGTAGCTGATACAGTATAGCTGCATATGGATAGATTTACTTCTATGTATTCGAACAAAATACGGATTGAGGTTAAAAAGATTGATTTGAAAACAAGTATTCCTTCTATGGCAGAGGGGTACTCTCTGATTTCCTCTTGTAAAATATAAGTGAATCTCATCAAACTGGGTCAGATCTTTCCGTTTCTTCAGTTTTGAATGTAGAGATTGGGTTCTGAACAATGCAGCCTCACCCCTCACAGCATCTGATTTCATTTAGTGCAATTAAGCCCAGAAAGTCGTCACTTTGTCCTGACAATAGTCAGGTTTTAATGTACATTTACAGCTGTTAGGAGAGTTTTTATGTTGCTCTGCATTAACACAGTGAAACATATCTCCAAAATGTGTTAATTAAATTTGCTCAAATTGAGTAACTTGCAGAAAAGTTATAATTAGGAAAAAAAAGGCATCTAAATGTATTTATGTATCTAAAATAAATCTTTTCCTTGTGTACAGTGTAATCATATTTAAACAATGAAATGGGATAGTATTTTTCCTTTGATAATAGCAATACCTTTGATTTATTTGTAAGTATTTGTGTCAGAGTTACTGCCATAGTCCAGTCTCTTTTCCTTAATCTCTTTAAATTAATCTGTCTACCCAACAAATACTGCAAATGTTGTGATGTGAACATCAAGAATTTTTACACCTCCCATTAGTGTTAGGTTTGTTTTAATAAATCCTTCCATCAGGCAGATTTAGAAGTCTGTATACTCTTTTGTAAAGGTAAAAAAGTAGTGTCAGAATTGCAAAGCAGACATTAAGGAGTATGTAAATACTTTATAACCTTGTTATGATGCATTTCCTGCAGGGTTGATCCGGTGCCCCATGATGCTCCGAAGCCTCCAGGATATACACGATTTGTCTGTATTTCTGATACTCACTCAAGAACTGATCCCATCCAAATGCCATATGGAGATGTGTTAATACATGCTGGTGATTTTACTGAGCTGGGACTTCCTAGTGAAGTAAAAAAATTCAACGAGTGGCTAGGTAGGTACTGAATTCTGTGTGGATTCGACAGTAAATTTGTTTACTGATTGTATCTGCCCCTTCTGCCTCCCAGTTAAAAACCATCACACACTCAGAAGTTATGAATATTAATTTGACTTTTAAATTTGAATGGCAGGAATCAGGTTTTTTTTTTCTTAGATTCGACAAATATTTTTGCATTTTTCCAACTGAGCAAATAGGATTTGTGAGACTATTCATCTGTTCTGCCTTCACACTCTCAAGTGTACATTAAGCACTCTTGGTGTTAGCAACAATTGAAGTCAGGAGGCCTTTAATGATTTACATAAAACCTCTTGCATACATTGTTACAGCTTTGCTGCCTCCCCTAAAAAGTTGTTGTGACTGAAAACATTTTTCTGTTTAACCCCAGAGGGCTCATAGGTTTGGAGTTTTTTTTATATCTGAAGCTCAGCTGCGCCACAGAGATGAATTCTGAACAAAGCAAACCCTGTGTGCCTGTGGTTGCTGCCTTGGATGTAGCAGACCAGATGTAGATGCCTTCTGTAGGCAACTTTTGGCATTGCTAACTGAAATTCTGTTCCACTGGGCAAGAGAGTGATGATTTACATGTGCTTCTGCAATGCTTTGTATATGCTAAAAAAAAAAAAAATTAAAATTGGAAAGCATGCACTGTATCCAGACAAAAACTGTCATCAGTGCTGTTCCTGTAGCATTGCAGATACCTTAATTTAGAATAAGAGTGGCTTCTGGATTTTGAGACTTCATTAATTAAAAAAGGTGAGAGGGAATGAAGGAGTTGGAGAGAGAAAGCACCCAGTCTAAGGGTAACGGATTTCAAGTTTTTGTGTTGATTTTGTTTCTTGTAGTTGATATTTTTCCTTTTTTTTTCCCTGTCTTTTTTTTTTTTCTTTTTTTTTCTTGTTTTTTTTTTTTGCTACATATTGAAGCAATCCACACTAGGAGGGCACAAAGCAGACAGATGCATGTAGGCTGAAATGGAATTTAAAAAGGAAAGTCAGGACTTCACAATTTAAACAAATATTTACTAGCAAGTAATTATCAGCAAGGCTGATAAATATTTATTTGAGCTCAGGAACTCAATAATATGCCACACATGGAACAATTGTTTTTTTTCTGTGACTATGAAGGTAGGAACAGCATGTGGAATAATTGATACAGAGCCATCAACTCTGTGTCTGCACCCAAATGGAACGGGTTGGTTATAAAACAGCAATTTTTGACCCTATTTTGTAGGTCTCTACCATGTATTATAGTAATGTACTGAAAATAGCATTTACAAATTATTCAAACCTATAGTAATGTACTGAAAATAGCATTTACAAATTATTCAAACCTATAGTAATGCACTGAAAATAGTATTTACAAATTATTCAAACCATGTGGTTACCCCTTCTAAATAATCCTGATTTTATTTATCTGCTGGTGTGGGAAGAGAAGTGCTTTGGGATGTTGCTGGTGAGCAAGGATGGGGCTGTGCTCATTGCTTGCTGCACAGTTTTTGTCTCCAGTTCTCCATCTGCCTCCCAGCTGGTCACATCTGTATGGTGTTCTGAAGATGTCTGTAAGCTGAAATCCTCTCAGAACGGTAGGGAGATTTCCCGAGGCATTTCTGTGATGTTCTCTTCATCATTTTTATTAAAAAAAAAAAAAAAGGCTTAATTTTCTGACTTTTCAGGCATTCTTCCAATTTCATGGTAGTGTGCACTTGGGAAAAGGTGATCTTGGTGGTTGGAGTTACATTTTTGCAAGAGCAAAAGATTTGAGATACAGGAAATTAGCAAGTTAAAAGATTTTTGTTTAGTTTCTTGGCAATTTAAAATTTAAAAGATTTAACTTAAATTTTTTATGAAGTTTTTGTTTGGTTGTTTTAAACAACCAGTTTATCAGCTCTTGAATATATTGAGTGTTCACAAAATTTGCAGCAAATGGCAGCATGGTTAAAAGCATCCCCACTGAGAAGGAATTTCAGAAGGTTTTGCTGGTTGTCAATATTTTTGTGAAGGCGTTAGTCTCCAGCAGCTTCGATTTTTCTAGATAGCTGCTTCCAGTACCTTCCATAATTTTGCAGCTCCACAGCCAATCCAACTATCTCCGTCTTCCTTAATATTTTACTGGTTTCTTGAGAAAGTAACTGACAGACTCTGGCACTAACTTTTCCTCCACTGACATTCTTCCTTGCTGCTGCCAGATTTCCCTGTTTATTCCTTCATGTACAGGGCTCACTTTCCCACTTTTTTGTCTATTCCATGTATCCTGCTGTCCTCAGATTATGACTGTTTTTGCCTTGCAATAAACACTAGGTTTGGTACACCTTCCCTTGATCTCAGCTTCCCCTCAAGCACGAGATAAAACCTTCTTCCTGCTTTTGCTCCAAGTCTCTATGTGCAGCATTGATTCCCACCTTGCAGTTTTCAGTTCTGCCATACCCTCTTGGGTCTGTGCCACTCTGGTCTCTCTGTTTCATCTTTCCAGATGAACTCGCCCTTCGGCAAGTTCAGATTTTATCTTTTCGCTTTACACAAAACTCCTGTGCCTGTCTGATGGAAAATTTATTTTACCATCATTAACTTCCATGGGCCTTATGGTTCTATCAAGCACATGCTCGAGTGTTGTGCTAATAGAGGCACATTGGCTGGATGAGTCATCCCCTAAAATCTGTTCTCTTTTTCTGATTGTCCCTGGTTCCCAGGAAGGCCGCTACCAGCTGGGGTAAAAGCGCTTATGATCCCAGTATTGTCCCTGGCTGGGACTGGTACCCAGGTGCTCTGTTTTGGCAGCCCTTTAGTCACCAAGTTTTATACTTTGACCCCTTAAGTCCTCTAGTTCATTTCAGTTTGTTCTTTTTGGTGATTAATTGCTTTCTGTCATGTGTCTTTTTCTCTAAGCCCTTTCTCAGGGTGAGAGTTGAGGTTTCCCTTAGTGTCCAAGTCTGTGGAAGAGATAAAATGTTGGTGATCACTGGATGTGCTTATTTTCTCAGCCTTCTCTGGTAGGCAGTCCAGCATTACTTTTAATTTCATATATAGATTTTTCTTCTCTGAGTTTTTTAATTGCCTTTTGGGTCTGTGCAAAGGTTTGAGCACAGACACAGTTTTGCAGCAGAGTTCCAGAATATGACAGGGATGGTGAGATGAACTGTGCTCATTCTTATTATTAGTTTCACTTGGTACTTCCTAATACTGGAAGAGACAAGTGAAAAATTCATCATTCTTTATTCTGCTTAAGAATTTTTAAGCTCTTTCCATATCTACCCTTAAGATATTTTTCAGGCTGAAGATTGTTCAGAAATCCTTAAATGCCTTTGTTCATCTGTATTACTCTTTGTACCTCTTTGTCCACATCCTTTTAAAAAGAGTGAGACCAGAACTGTACATGTTCTGAGAACACTACAGGTTTATTCCCTTGCACAGTGAAATTTCTTAGTTCTCTTTTCCTTTCTGGTCTTGTGGATTATTCTGTTTTTAACAGAACAATGAGATGGCATTGTCATAAAATTCCATGAAGTCTCCTGAATGGTAATACCTAGCTCAGAACACATCACTGCATCTATAGTTTGTGTATTTTTTCCAAATTTTTTAAATTATACTGCATAAATTTATGCTTGGTTTCATCTGTCCAGTCATGAAAAATCATGATGTACTTTTGCAAGTGAGATTTCTATTTTTCTGATGTTTTTCAGGGTAACTTAGAAAATTAAGGGAATAGGGGATGAATAGTCAGTTTACAAAGCATACAAACAGTGCCAACCTGCTCTTTGCCCTCCCTTCTTTTTTTTCTGAATCGACCCTTCTCCTGTTATCATATCTCAACTTTTTCCTTTTTTTGTCTAGTTTGTTCTCTTACTGTATTTTTACTCCAAATTTAAAAATTCAGTTTTAGAGAACCAGAAGATGAAGTACGAGGTATGTTTTATGGTAGGAATTAACAGAAGACCAAGAATCCAGGGAAACTTTCTGATGATTTATAAGAATGCATGGTATGACTTCAAATGTGTGCTAATTTTCCAGCATTTTCAGGAGATTTTAATGATAACACTTCAAACAGACAAAAATAATCTGCAGCTTTTCCATTATTTTGGTTTTTTTTATTTATTCCCTTCTTCCCCACTTGCATATCAATCAAATGTGTTATATGACAAATACAAAGATGTATGTCCTGCCTTAGTACAGTCATAAAATACTGACTCCAAAACCATCTCTTTTTTTTATCTCCCATATTGTTGCCACTGGAAATTGCCTGCTTGGCTCAGTTGCTCATGTAATTCCCTTTGCTCAATCCTGTAATATCATTTCCAAATTGTGTATGCTCCAGAACCCGCTGTCACTTTGAGCTTGTGGGTTACTTTCCTGGAAGTCTAACTAAATAGCTGATCTGAGGTATAAGCTTCAACACATACTTCCGTCTTTTTTCTGAGAATTCTCTTCTGTGCATGGATTGGGAAGGTTACTTAAACTAACACATTGTGTAATATATATTGTTTCAGTGTGTTTGCTTGAGATTTTCCAATTTCTAAGACAGACTTTCAATTTGAGATTCAAGTTGAAGGTAAATTGGAAATGAAAAATAGAAAGTGGCTTGGAGTTGTAATGGAAAACAATAATTAGCTCTCCAGAATATTTTCCTGAAAATATTTTTACATGCATGTTGTACACATACAAACACAGACCAGAAAAAGGAATACATTATTTAACATGCACTTCAGAAGTTGACCTAGGCAAATTCAGCAAAAAGGATAAGATTTTTGTTTCAAACTAAAAAATATTTTAGAGTGAAGATGTCTACCAACTGTAGTAACTAGCATTACTAGAACATTACTTGTTTTTAGACTTAGATTGTATTTGATCTAAACTTGTAGTATTAGATTCTGTAGACAGAATCAGAGATTTGTTAATAAAGATCATCTCTACTTTTTAAAGTTCTTGAAAAAAGATTTTCAGAAAAAATTGTGGTCACTAGGCTTAGCTTTACTTTTGCTTTACTGCTCAGCTTTGCAAAAT